TTAGCTACAGTTAGTTAGCTAGTGAATGTGCAAAGCTGGCACAGGTTCCTCAAGGATTGATAGGGATGTGTATTCATGCACATACCCATGTTATAGGTATGTGATGTGTATACACATATGTCTATATATGTGTAGCTGTATCTCTCTGTACAATGGAGGGAGAGGCACTGAAATGCCTTTACTGCACGTAAAGGTGTTTTCTCTGGTTCTTGTACTTCTGTGTTCCATTTCTGCTCCCCACTCCCCACCCATCTTTTTTCTTTAGAAGATACACTTAGGGATTTTTTTCAGCTCTGTGCCCAGTAATAAACTGTAATGTGTGCCAGTGTGTTGCACCTACTGTATGCACATATTTATCCTTAGTTGTATCCATGACTAAAGACCAATGTATTTATTAGGGAGTTGCATGACAGGACTACTTGATAAAGCAAATAAGTGATGCTTAGTGATTCCAGGTAGATTGTCCAACCCCTTTTGTCAGTAGTTTTTTCAACTTTTATATGTTCCTTTAAAAAGTTGAGTACTTTCCTAAAAGCTTTGGAGTTGAAGACGCCTTTGGATAGACTGAGTGCTGTATTGGGCTTCTGTAAGCAATAGCCTGATCTCCTTTGTTATTCTGTCCTGGAAACAGTTAGGTCTCGTGCTGCCACTGCTTGGAAGGTGGAACTATGTCAATAACTTTCAATAGCATTAGAAATGTAGTATGATTTATCTGGGGAGGGAAAGGCTGGCTATTCTATATGCTCAATGGAGTTAGAATGCATCTCATCCTGGGCACTGTGCAAAGATGTCAACTTCACTTGTAATTGCAGAAATGCTCATGCTGGATACAGGAATGTGGCACTTCAGGTGTAGCAAATTGGGCAGTAATCAAACATTGGCATGGAGTATTCTCTGCTCCCTATTGCTGTGGCAGTCCATCTGCAAGCACATATCCATAGCATATGTGCAAATGAATGCTGGAGAAGACCTCTATCTTTAGAGCATATGCCTCTCCCCAGTAAAATGGATGGAGGATCAGAGATTTGAAAAAATGAGTCACTGTGACTCACTACAGTACATCCATAATAAAATCTATCTAAATTTGGTAAGGAACTCTAGGAACTAATTGCCCTAGTTACATACCTCTTTTATTTTTTTGTAGATGTTTGTCCCTCTCTTCTCTAGCAATTATGTACTGTATGTACAGAAATAAGATTTCAGTAATGACTGTTGTGTGGTATTCTAGATTAAGGACTTCTGCTCTTGCAAAACTGATTGGGGTCATATTTTCAATTATCTCCTTCAAAAACCATATCTAAATTAGGAATAACAAAAGCTCTCCGAATGCTTTGGATTTTAGTGGTCTTGTATTGTGTTAGAAAAATGTGAAAAAATTATTAAAAGTTTCAATAGCATGTAATAAATTTCGATTATCAAACCTGATTTCCATTGGGAAGAGATCACATTTGCTATAACTCACACATTTGCTACTCCAAAACTACAGTTACTCAAAATTTCTTGTCTAAAATCTTAAATAGATAATTGTTAGCAGCATTAAAGTATGCAGTCAGTTCTTGGGTAGACTTTCTAGCACATTTAGGATTAATTAAATTTAATTCCTAAACATCAAGTTGGTAATTAAACCAGAGGTGTTGAAGGTCCTGAATGCTGAACTTTTAAAACGAATATTTTACCACTATTCCTTGTATAAAAAGGAACTCAAAGAAAACATAGGGCTGACTCAAAAGCTCACAGCTTTGTGGAAAGCATCCTGTTTAGGGGCAAATTGTTGGCCTTTACATTGTATTTAATATCTCAGGCCAAGTTTTATTCATGAGATATCCTATCCTGTGTAAGACAGTTGTTTAGAAGCTGATTAATACCTGTGATACTTTTTTTTTTCCAAGAGTAGAACAAGCACAATTTGTGTTTTTATAGAATTAAAAAAACCCACAACCAACCAACCAGCAAACAGAAATAATTAGACAATATAGAAAGGCTGTGTGGACCACAAATGGTCCCCAGACAACTTACTTTTGTGTACCAACATTCTTGCTCTTTTGAGTACAAGATAAAACAGTTCAGACCTTCAATACCTGTGTGAAGATGCTAAGTAGAAAGCAGAGAACCATAAAGGCAGAAGTAGAAATGGGTCCTCTGTGACTTGAAGCTGTTAGTGAAAGTAATGATATCTTTGCATTTATGGGTTAGCAGTAAAATTCCTCTTTGTAGAGGGGTAATTCAAGCTTATGCGTTATTTAAGTGCACTATCAATGGGACATGTTTTCATATGCTTTACATTTGAGCCAACATAAAAGCCAAAAGTCATCTTAATACTCGGGGCAATCCCTCCTTTCTTTATCTCTTCTTCAGCATGCTAAGTGTCTAACATGAAATTGGAAATACTCAAAGCAGTTGTGGACTCGGCACCTGTAGCCAGATGTTAAATGTAAATTACAGCATCATCTTTAAAATGACCTCGTAAAATAATATTTGCTCTGTGTTTAAATGGGTTGAATTTTCAAATTACAAATTTGCTTCCTTATGAAGCTGTTATCAGAAGGCATAGAAAAATCATTGTCTTGCTTTCATTTCTCATTATAAAGCAATAAGTTTATTTTGGAAGTTACTAATTTGTATCTAATTGAGATGGATGGAGGCTCTAGTTAATCTTGTTTACATTCAAATGTACTCTTGGATATTTTATCAAGTCTAAACAAAAGACAGGTTGTACAGAATCTGAATTAAAATTTTCAAGTTTTAACAAGATTCCTGTTTAAAATAGAAAAGAAACAAAACACAACAAAGTAACTCTTGTCACTTTGCCCATAATTCATATTACAAAGTCAGCTTGTGTGTCTAATTTATAAAATAGTGTGTTTATCTCAAATCTTTGCCAGACTGAACAGGGCAATCTTAAGACAGGCAGTAGCATTCTTAATGATGTTAGCTAAAGCATTCATGTTATTTGAACAACTAGTTTTCTTTTTTTTCCTAAATTTTGTCCAGCAATTCATTCTGGTTTGATGCAGAATTCATTTGGTGTGATCTGTGAAACAGGAGCAGTGTTAAGTGTCGAAAGATTGGTGTTTTGGTGATGATAAGTACTTTCCACTCGTTAATGGTCATCATTAGCCTTAGCAGCTCCCAGCTTTTAAAGATGAAGATTTTTTTCAATGTTATCCTTGAGTTTTTCTTCACTTCTTTCATAATACTGTTAGGCATTGCTGGCAAGTACACTTACTTCATTGTTGCATTTTGCCTCAGGGTGAATGAAATTATGGCTCTGTGGATTTGATTTATACCAAAATGAAAACAAAATTTTGACAAATCTGTGCTATTCTTGTTTAGGTGGAAGGGATAGAATGAAACCTCCAACAAAATGCATCTGCTTGCATTGCTATAATGGAATATTTTATTTACTGCTCTTCCAACATAAGAATTTTTTTTAGAAGCTGAGTGTGATATAATCCATCTAGGGGCATTGTATAATTTGCCCAGCTGGAAACAGGACTAGTGACTTAGAGTGCAGCTGCAAGGTTATATTAAGTAGAAGCCAGTGTTTTTCTGCAAAATCTCAAATGGGATTCGTCTAAGCAGTGTAACAACAGAGAGGTCATTTGTCATACTTGCTTCTCCCCATAAGCTTTATGTATGAACAAAGAAATGGTTTTCCTGTGGTTGTTTAATAGTTCAAGGGTTGATGCTCCAGGCTGGTCAGCTCCAGTGGTAGACACATTCTTGAGCTCTGTGACCTTGACACTCTGAATAAGTGTAAGATCATCCCTCAGCTGTCAAGTTTAGATTTTAGGTATGCATATCTATATCCTAGTTCTGAAAATGAATGCTGATTTCTTTGTGAAGCAGGAAGGGTCTGTCTACTTAGATCTCATCTTGGGACTGGAATCTTTAGGAGGATCAGTCTATCTCTGTAAACAGCAAAATATATTCCAGGAAAATTTTGCTTGTTGCTTTTAGATGATTAATTATCTATTTAGTTTTATGAAAAAGTGTCATTACAGCTGGATGTTTATTAAGTAGTTGAAATGACACTCTACTAATTGAGTATTTAATATATGTTTACTTTGTTTGCATACTCTGTGTCTCAGTAAAATAGCTGGGGGGGAATTTACTTGTGTGTGAATGTAAGTGTCCCATATATATCTGCATGTTTTTGAAATAAAACTATTTTGGAAAAAAATTTTTTTTTAAAATAAAACTAATTTGGAAAAAATGTTTTTTAAGAAAAAGTCACTAACAGAAGGTAAATTATTTTATTGCTAATTTTTGCTTCAGGCTCTTGGATGACATGCTTTTTTCAGTTTTATACTGAGGTCTCGAGAGATACTGTATTTGTTAAATTGGTATTAATTAAAAATGAGAGAGCAATTGGTCGGTTTACACTTTACTAGGTTCTCCAGAAAAGCTCAGATAGCTCTAATGTGGAGAGAAGAACCTAAAGCTGCTTTGTATTCCTTTTGCACTCAGTAGCAAAGCAACTTTCCTATGAAATTTCTATTTTTTAATAATTTGAGACTCTCAGGGGTTGTTTTGAATATGAGTATTCAATCTGAGAATTTAAATTGTGTGCAGAGCATGCCACTTTATTTGAAGTCAGCAAGAGGTGATGATTTGTTGAAGAGTCTGACAGTCTCTGAGATTATAGTGGGGGAATCATTTGAGGGAGTGTTGGATAATCTGTGCAGGGCTTCCTGTTTGCAGCTTCTATAATGGAGTCCTGTGTTCCAGTGCTCCCTGTGATTTTATTGAAAGTGTGCAGTGCCTTCTAAAAAGGCCTGACAGTGAGAGATTGTGCATTTCCTGACAACCATGGCAAAATGATTCCAGCTGTTCTTGAGAGGTGCCTAATGCTGGGCCGAAAATTGCTATTTTGTGCTTCTTTAGGGTTTAAATGCAATGATATTTATTTGGCAGTGTTGTTTAACTGGTTCTTGCTAAATAACTGTTAGCACAACATGCAGTTTTAGTAATGCTGGTTTTGTTTGTAATCTTTTAAGGTTGTGCTGGTGAGGTGGAATGAACCATTCCAGAAATTAGCAACCTGCGATGCAGATGGAGGAATATTTGTTTGGATACAATACGAAGGCAGATGGTCTGTGGAGCTCGTGAACGATCGTGGGGCACAGGTTGGTATGCATTTTTTCTCTGCAGCCAAGAGGGATCAGCTCCTGAGAAGCCAAATGAAGAGGGCAAGGAATGGGACTTTATACCTTTCAAAAAGCACAGGAGAAAATGAAACATTTGTTTATTGAAAGGAACGTGCAAGAATTGTCACAAAGGCACTTGGCAAGCACAGTGCTTTCTCCAGTAGGCATGACAGCAGAGCTTCAGCTGGGCTAATAGTTGGCCTGTCTCATTCTGTGCACTGCTGCCTTTTATTAAAACAGCAAAAGATATCCTACATGGCTCATATATCTATTTTCTTGTCTTTGATATGTTAAGGTAAGCGACTTTACATGGAGCCACGATGGGACTCAGGCACTTATCTCCTATAGAGATGGATTTGTGCTGGTCGGTTCAGTCAGCGGACAAAGACACTGGTCTTCAGAAATAAACTTGGAGAGTCAGATCACCTGTGGCATATGGACTCCAGATGACCAACAGGTAATGAAAATGGGGGATTTAGGGGTGTCGCTTGGGTTGCATTGTTGTGCTATAGAATACACCTCTTAAAAAGTTACGAAGTAAAATGGTCACGTGGTAAGATCAGTTTCCATCAAAACTGCTGCTCCCACTGATAATGAAAATTTGGTTAATCCTGTTGTTCTTATTAGGTGAATATGATAGTCTACCAAGTTCCCTGTGATCACTTTTCACCCTCATTCACACATGGTCTTATTCAAAGTTAGTTATTTGAGACAGGAATCTGTTAATTGTAGCCTTAATTTATTGTTACAGCTATCTTATCTCTGCATTTGAGCAGAGGTACAGCCTGGACTATTAAACATCTGATTGGACATTTCTGTGTAGGTTTGTCCAGTCTGCACTTGCAGCAGAAGCAGTTCCAGCAGCACATATGGTTATGTTTTGCATTCACATAAGGACATGTATGTAATTGAGTGTTGAAGAGATGTCTCAACCTTATGCAAATAAAATTTAAAAGAATAAGTTTTGCTGAGCTTTGAAAAAGCCAGTTAAAAAAATGTTCTTTACCATTTTTCTGGACACTTATATGATAGTGGACACAGCAGCATTTCCAGCATGGCTGGAGCACAGGAGCACTGGTTTCATTTGCAGGATTTACACTGCTCCCTTGCCTTTCACTGCTGAGCTGACTGGATTGGTCTTTCCTTCCTCATGCTTGCTGCCACTGTGGTTGTGAATGGGTGTATAAGGCAGTGCTGAAGGAAATGATGGCCATAGAATAGTGCCAAGAGAAACCCTGTTAGGATCACAGCTGGATTGTTTTCCTTCCTTCATTTTACACCACCATGGAAAAGATTCTGGTTCAAGACTCAAGGTACCACTCAATTTAGAATACTATAAATTCATCCAAGGTAGAGTTATTTTGGGAATTGCTAGTGAAATATAATAGCACTAATAATATACATTTCTGCAGCAGCATCTAATAATTTTAGAGTACTCTGCATAGAATAATGAATTAATTATTGCAATACTGCTTTTTAAAGCCAGCGAGCCTGCCTGCCTCTTTTTGAATCTAGGGAAATGTAAATCTTGACAATAAATAATTTACTTGAGATCAAGAGGAAGAGACAAGCAGCACAAGTAGGAGGGGAAGCTAAGATCTAATAGCTCTCAGTCCTATGTTTTAAACATGAGGCTACCCCATTTGTGTGATGCTCAGTTGTTGCTACTGTGTTTGGAAATATCTTCACTTGAGTGTTTAATTTGGAGTGGCTGACTGCCTTTAATTCAGTTTAGCCAATATGTTTATACTTTCTAATCTGGATGCTCCATAAGTGCTTATTCCAGGAAACAAACACTTGTTCAGTGTCCAGATAAATGCTTTCGAACATAATGGCCAATTCCAGCTATGTGAAAATGACTTGCTTGACTTACAGACTCTGCTGCTGACAAATTCACTGAAATAGAGACCCAAACCAGCCTCGAGTTTGATGTTGCTCTGCACAGTTCTCCCTAACTATGTGGTTTGCAGGGGTTTGCATGTTAAGTGATGATGGATCTTTGTACTATTCCCTGGAGCTGGTGGAAAGAAGTGATCTTCTAAAATATATTTAGATGTACTTGCCTCTGGAGGCACGAGGAAACATGAATCACAGAGGTGCTGGGTGAGAGACTATGCTCAGTTCAAATTAAAAATAGCAAACGGGGGGGAAGGACATTGCATACATTATACATAAATAAATGTTTATGGAAATGGATACCCTTACTAGCTTATTGCCTTACTCAAATTTTCTCCTGATTGGTATGTGTGCAAATGAGAACAGAGTACTATTCTAGTCTACAGTAGCTTCAGCATCTTCCCTATTGCTTAATGTACTCTGCTTGTCAGTACAGTGACTGAAAGATAAATGTTGGCATTTAAATTTAGACTTTTGTACTGTTCTTTTTGTTACCCCTCTGGCACCTTGAAGGTTGCCGGTGAAAGTATTCCTGGAAAGTATTATACACCACAGTCCCCTGACCTTTAACACAATTATCTTTAAAATTTACATTTCCGGGGGATTGTATTGTTCAGTATCATGTTTCTATTATCCTGATAGAAATCTGTTCAGTGTAGTGTGTCTGTTCACTTCACTCTTCAGTTCTCTCGACTTTCTCCCTCACTCCCTTCTGCATGCATCCTGCTGGTTTCTCCTGTCTCCTCCATCTTTCCTCCTGTATATTCAGCACCAGTAAGCTGTCACCTCTGTCACTCCTTGCAATGGATGGCTGTGTGGCAGCTCTGCAAGAGGAGGGTAATTTCCTACCACCACCTTTCTGCTGGGGACAAGGAAAGGCTGGAGCTGCAATATTGGCACCATCATCTTGTTGGACAGTGTGTGTGGCCTCTGGGTTTGTGTCATTACTGTGCTTGAAGTAAAGCACCTTTGAGGTAGTGGCTAATGTGTAGAGATGGGATGAGAGCTACAGAGGTGGCCAGGGTGGACTACAGTCCTGCTGAAATTGAGCATATAATTGTATCTTTTAACTGATGTGGTACATACTCTGCCCTGGTTATCGGCTGATTTTATTAATACGAGCCAAAATTGTTCTGCATTTTCTTTTAGGAAGAGAGTGTTACCATTCTTCTTGTAGCTGAGTTGTTTTTCAGGTTTTTTGAGCTCTCCTTGTTTGCTGGGGACAAACTTACTTTGAGTCACATGGTTGACTGCAGTGCTTTCCCTCAGCATCTCTCTCAGATGAACTTCTCATGAAGGTCATCGGCAGATTTCTGCTGTAGTTCACACCCAGATCTCGAGTATGGACTTGGAGCTGAGGGCTTCTTCAGCCAATTCTATACATAGGCCTTTTGAATGTGATTCTGCATGTTTAGTTCAGAGGACTAGAAGTCAGTTTTCTCACCTCACAGTGTGTCTGTAGTCTCACTCATTCAGGCATTTCCTCCTCCTGTACCTTAGAACCAGAGCTCCTATCTAGCCAAGATGTGGCCCCATTGGGCTCTTGGGGATGTACAAATGGAAGATTTTATAAGACTGGGCTGTCTGTCTCTCAGGCAGAGTGCCATTCTTGTGTTAAACTTGGATGGATGGGATTACAGGAGTGGGACTTTCCTTGCAGTTTTTAAAAGTTTTTTTTCAGGGCTGCAAGAGGCTATAGCAGTCATGTGGAGTATTTTTCTGGTGAGCAGGCTCACTTACGATCATGTTAGGGATGAAAAGTATACATGAAATTAAAAATAAATTTGAAATATCAGAGAAGGCTGTGTCCTGTCTTGAGACAGTTCTGTGGCATTTTCCCATGCTTGTTTTCCAAGAGGAGTGTACATACCAAGCAGATTGAGGACTTTATAAGTGAGAAAAGCTTCACTTTTGTCTAACCAAAGGGTTTATTTATAATTATAGAAGCAACATCAATAAGTAATTGAGGATTTTCCCTAAACCCACAAGTCATACAAAACATCTTTCCAGTGCTTTATCTCCCTTCCTGTGTGTTTGCTGAGCTTGCAGTGACATTCTTCTGTCAACAGCTGCTGCCCTTAGGCCACCCTTTCCCTCTTCTTCTCCCTATATTTAACTCATTAAAGAGATTATCTCTCTTCATGATGGAGAAAGTGTCAGAGAACTGGGTGGGAACTGTAGAGGATTATCCCTTTGTTTATAGCAATATAGTGTAACTCCTTGAACTTCCCTGGGGTTGTTGCTGTTGCTGTTTCTGTGTGTGAGAAGGGAAATCACTTTCCAATAGAGGAAACCGTCAATGAAAATGAACTAATGTATTTTAATTCCTGGATATCCCAGGAGATGCTAGTAACCTATATTTGCTCCCTGCTTCTCTGCTAGTACAAATTATTAGACTTTTGTGACAGCTGTAAGTACCTATTTCTGGTTTTCCCCCCTCCCTTTTTCCGGTTGTAAGCTTTTATTTGTGGAAATTCAGGGACTGGACAGGATTGTTTGGCTAGGACATGACAGGTATGCATATATGTATACACAGACACACATACACATGTGTGTATATATATATATGTTTATATGTATATATATATATGTGTGTTTATATGTGTGTGTGTGTATTTTTATGTGTGTGTATATATATATATGTATACATACAGGTATATATGAACTTTGCCAGCATGCTTCCTTTGGTTTGGTTTGAAAATAAGTATATAAGCAAGCAGGCTAATTTGATTTGCATCCTGCTGGGTATGACATTAACTGTTGTACCTGATCCCATTGCGATGCAACATGCAGCAGTACTAAAAATGTGTAAATACAAGCCCCAAGGTTCAGCCTCTTCTGTGCCTAATCAGACAAAATGATGCTCTTGGTGAAACAGAAAAGCCAGCACCGTGCTAGGAGCAGATACCCTGTGCACTGAAAGGTCCTGTAATGCCCTGGAAGAGAACAGAGAGAGCAGCAGCAGATGAATTGCATGGTATCAAACACAAAGCAGGGTGCAGGAGCTCTCTGTGTTGTGGTTTTGGAAGTCTCATGCAGCTTGCAGTAGCTGTGCAGGGAGGCAGTTTCTAAGCTGTTACTCACTCCTGCTCCCAGCACTTGCCATCCTATTCCCATGGCAACTGCAGAGACGCTTCAGCAGCATCTTTGTTCCATGACAAGCAGGAGGCAGGGCAGGCTTCAGCTCCTTCCCCCTGCCTGCAGTGCATCAGGGTGGAGCCAGAAGGGAGCTCCACGTGAAGAAGGGGATGTGTGTTGTTCCTGGGCCCAGCAGTGGGGTGGGGTGACATCCCTGTGCTGGCACAGCACACGGTGCCATACGTGTCCCTGCACAGGATCAGGGCAGTAGGAGCTGATTAACAAGAGATGCTGTCAAATGGTTACCAGTGGCATCAGGTATTTCATGAGCTTCTCTCTCAGAGTTCTTGAGTTTGGTATGGCTTTAGTCCTTGGCAGGAATTTTACCTAATAAATCCCCTTTAGTACAGTCTGCTTTTGGATCCCCTGTTTTCATCTGTGAACTATGATTTGCAGTTGCTACTACCTTTTCAAGGGAATGGT